TTTGAATAGATTTTTTTTTTTTTTTTTTTTTTTTTTTGAAACAATTTTACAAAGAGTCAAATTCGAACTGTTGCTTAAGTAAAAAGAATACACTTAAACGTGACTTAATGCCACTGAGCCGCCGAAGGCTCAAGTGTATTTGAATAGGTATTTTATTTGACTTGAAAAGAGATATTTGAATCCTGAATATGAAAAATGTATAGTTGTCATATATGGCGTCTAAACATGGGGTATAAAAATCCTTAACTGTATACATTAACCTATATAGCTAACTTCCAAACATGTATAACTGACTTTTGCAAATGAAACAAAAACAAAGCGAAAATAAAGGAGACCACTGTAATAGATCCTAGCAGATGGGAGCAAAGGCAACAGGATAACTAGATATTATTCTTTAATAAACCATACATACAAATCGTTGACTAGGACCATCTTTATGTTGACTGATACAGTGTAGAAATTGGCAAACTACTATTTCCGATTTTTAGATAGCTAAAGGTGTTATTTACAATGTCACAAGTATCCTGATTTTGTCTCAAGCACACTTCTACCACTTGTAACCAGCTTGCTTGTACTAAGATTTGGTTGGACCTGCGCCTGCATCTCAGCAAGCTCCCGCACGCGTAACAAAATTGTTGGTGGAATGGGCATGGAAGGATGCTTTCGTGAATTCACCTACATAATCAACGTTAGAGAAACCATAATAAACATAATGAAAGAGAGATGAAATAACAGCATTTCGTACATTCTAACAATAATACCCTCCAGTAAAGGTGAAGAGTGAAACAGAGAGAGGTCACAGAATCTATTTATTTGTCTCTATCAAGCAAAAAAATAAAAAACAAACTTTAATAACTCACCCCTTTGTCCGGTGTCTGTGAAAAGCTGGCTTTGAGAAGATTCCGCCATTTGTCCTGCAAGGACGAGAACCAAAAATATATTTCCAATGGTCAGGACAATACAATTATCAAAATGAGTTTTCCTTTTTTTAACCTCAATTGATTAGGCAATACACAATCCCATTATCCAACTAGCATACAAGTACCTTAAGATCAACAGAAGTGCGGTATGAATAGGATGCAAAGGCTAGCCTTCTGATCTCTGACCATCTGCCAGCTCCATACTTAGACACACCGTCAACCAGCTTCATGACCTCATGTAGAGTCCAAGCTCGATGATGTTTCCTTCTAATTCTAACTTTAGATGTAGGCAACCTAGCTACATTATCATCTGAAGGATATTCAAACGAATCTGCATTTTTCTGCTCCATATTCTGCCCTCTATCAATTACATCCAAAGATGAGCACTGCCTCTCTTTATAGGGTTCAGCTACAAGCTGTCCACAAGAACAGAATCTTCACTAAAAAATGTAATCACCATCTTCACACTTTTGGATGGTCCATCTTCAGTTCTGGATTGGCTATCATATGCTTGAACAGCCACCACAGACCAAAGGGATTCCTAAAATATTTTCAGACACTACCAGTAACCTAGGAGCTCTAGATTGGCCTTCAAAGGGTACAAGTGGACAAGCAAGAATTCTCTTTTTTCTTTCTTTCCTAAGTGTGAAATGAAAACGTGGATTGGCCCTAACTTAACTGTAAACAAGAAAAACTTTAACAGATAAGAGGTGTTGCGCTTTACCTGCTGTGAAAGCTGCTCTGGTGCAGAACTTACTTCCAAAACTTTGTCCCCATTCGTATTGTCCATCTGCAAACTGTGCACCTCCTGGCCCTGGCTAAGCAGTGTAGCTGTCATGCCCATGTCACTAGGATGGAATTTCTACAAGAGGCAATTCAGGTTGAGAGCTGCCATTGCCCACTAGATACAAATAACGTAATAGACAAACGTAATAGACAAACATCGAAAGTTGAGAAGAGGAGTGGGAGGATGGGACCAGTATAGATTCCATTCTTGACCACTCAAATATGAGTACCCACCTCCCATCCACAAGAGAATAAATTGAAGCAATAAATAGATAACAATAAAATGTTATTGACTTCCATATTCTTTTAAAGCAACTATGAAATCAACACCCCAGATCTCCAGACAAATTCATATTTTGTTATAGTAGATCAGTGACATACCATGAGATCCATAACGTTTTTCCTTGGACGGCTTCTTCGGACCCTATAAACACAAGGAACCTGTACCCCAAATCCTCCAAGGGAATCTATCCTTGTGATGATCGTTCTCTGTTCTGAGTCAATATTTCTTGCAGGCCTAGCAAAAGATTTTGAGGTCAATGGTCCAATTCCTGAATTTTTTCCTGAAGCAATTAACTTCCCAGTGTATTCTTTCGACTCTGCTTCTGATAGTTCTTCAATGTATCTCCTTGTTGGCTTCCGAACCCTTTTTCCAACCCTCTGTTCTATGGTAAGATCTTCACTGCCATAATTGTCTTCCATGCCACTATTTATCAATCCCTGGCCAAGAGAAATTTGTTGCACTTCTCTTTCACTACCATCGACAATAGGTGAATCGTCAATAAATCTCCTTGTTGGCTTCCGAACCCTCCTTCCAGCCCTCTGTTCTATGGGAAGATCTTCACCACCATAACTGTCTTCCATGCCACTATTTACCAATCCCTGACCAAGAGAAATTTGATGCACTTCTCTTCCACTGCTATGGCTATCAGGCGAATCTTTGCAGCTTTCCATTCCAAAAACTGGATCCATGGTAGATGCATCATTCACATTATCAAAGCTTCCCTCATTAGCATTTTTCAGCAATTTGTTATCTTTGATTCTGAAAGTTGGGGTTGAAACATCACAAGAATTTGTCAATCCCATGGTAATCCTTCTTTTAAGCCACTGCTTATCCTTCACAGTGGTTTCACGCCCAAATGTTGCTTTAAAAATTTCATGAAGTTCCCTAATTGATAAATTGTCCAAGCATACCTCCCCCTTTAACTTTGAAAAATCAGGTATTGAACAAGTAAAGCCAACAGAGATTGATGATCCACCATCTTTTAGCCCTTCGGAAGGTTTTGAGCACTCCCCAATACTCCCAGATCGAGTAAGATGATGATCACTCAGACTTTGAGCAACAGAAGCATCAGTAGTATCCTGCAAGGGAATTTGAGATTGAAGCTTCTCATCAAAACCAGGCAATTTATTGTGCTGCTCAGAAGACTGGCTGTCAACATTCACATTAGCAGAAGAATGATTAGGAGATCGACATGCTAAGTGGAGCCTCTCTTCCTGTTTGACCTTTTGCAACATCTCCTCAATGTACTACAAGGAATTTTAAAGCCAGAGAAGGATCCAAGAAATCAATAGTTTGACTGATTATATTAAGAGCCCAAAACAACCACATGCTTCAACTAGCCAGCAGCATTAAGAAAACAAAGAAAATAAAAATACAAATAAATAAATTAAAAAAAAAAAAAACTAATATATCATTAGGTGCTATACCCACACAACATATATTTTCTTCTTTTAGTCTGCTAAAAATTTTAAATATGAATGCACGCTCTCTGAGCATCGAGATTCACTAAAGCATTTTTATAGTTAAGTTTGTTACATACACTGAAACACTGGCATCATGCGTTAATTGAGTGAAAAGTTCCTCAGAGTTCTATCCCTCCTCAAAATCAATACACTGGAAAGTTATCCAACCTCCCAACTTTAGGGTAATAATTAAGGTTCCAAATTCACACAAATTTGTCTACAGTATGTCAAAGTCTCCATATTGAATTACAATATCAAAGTTGTTCTTTTTCTAACCAAACTAAAATTTAAACACTTGAGATCCTCATGATTTCTGTCACATTGTTGATTGGGAATGCAGTTCAAATAATGCATTCAAAGAAGAATATGTGGCAACAACAATAATATATAGAAATGTCAGGAAAACTATGGTTACAAGACAGCAAGAAAATGCATTAAATGCAACTTCATAAGAAGTTGAAAGCTTCAAGACTTGTTTATGGACAAGTAACAGGAACAACATCGTAACCGACTAAGAAATTAAAGAAAAAATAAATTTCTGGGTTTTTCCCCACAAAATTATAGAAGCAATATAAATTAGCAAGGATAATATCAGTTAAGAGATATGACAAGCTGAAGGCTTAAACTCACAAAAATATTGGAATGCCTCAAGAAAAATTTCCAGTATGTTAGTCACACATAAAACTCTATATGATAGAAAATAAATAAATAAATAAATAAAAAGTTACCCTCTTAAGAAACATATAATTATTACATGTCAACATCAACAAACAAGCTTCTCAAACTTAAAATACAAAGTGTTCAGTTCTTGAAGGAAAATTATAGGATTTAAAGCCAAAAGACTCTGTATCACAGGAAACTTGTGACAACAAGCCAACCTTGCAAACAAAATACTTAAGTAGCATTGGCATTCCTCCAATTTTCATCACTAATAACTTTAGAGAATCACTTATAAAACTATCATTCTAACATAAAGGTAACTTAACATTCACAATTTCTATGATTTTCTACAGGCAAAAGATCACATGTACACAACCTATTATCGTGATTTCCTAATCTGCATAAAAGCAATCACTGCAACACAGAAGCGAAACAAAACCATTTTCACTGAACATCAAACCAAAGCCAATCTAATCTGAAGCTATCACTGAAAAAAGAGGACCACATCCCAACTAGAACTGGCAGTAGTGGTGTACTTACACTAATAACATCATATTTGTTACCCAAAATTTGGAGAAATTTTGAAATTCTAAGCTATAAATGTTAAATTTACCTCAAGGCGTGAATTCAATTTCACAGTACCAGCTCCCATTTTCTTGTATTGGGGCAAACCTGAGATATATCAGTAACTCAGAAAAGGATAAACATATAGAAGCACAAAAAAAAAACAAATGTTAAAATGCAATCTGATAAGCATTGAAGCTGGGATAGCAACTGTGGAACATCAAATATCAACAATTAAGAGAGAGAATCACTAAACAAACATACACTCAAAGAAGACTTCTTTAATACTGTTAAGCTTATGACTTATGCCAAGATGACTACTCAGATGGTTCTCCATCTTCATTTTTCCTAATATTTCAATATCTACTTCAGGTTTTTTAAATGAAGGGCAACATGCAAGTATGAAAATCAATCAAAATTGAAAACCCTACAGAACAGAAAGATAAGAGAAACAAGCAAGTAAAGCCCAACCACAAAAACTATAAAGTGGAGAACATAATTAAAACCACAATCCGAATGGAGTAAGGTTATAAAGAGAATTTGATGGCTCGATTTTTTAAAATAGGACATTAACAGGAAAAAGTTAAGCCTAAAAGAAATCCTAATTCAAAAGCCACAACATAGGTTTGCAATCAGCACGTTCCACCATCTCATATTCTCAAAATAATTCTTCAAAATGTTCCCTAAAATGGTAGCAAGGAAACCAAACCTTCTGAGCTTTCAAACTGGGACAAGCTAGAGGATGACATCTCAATTGGCATGCCCCCCAAACTCTGCCCTGTGTCTGAAACAATAGGAATTTCTTGCTTCTCATTTTCAAGCAAACCCTCCACCTCCATGAGCTCATCATCAGTTGCAGGCACAAAAGTTCCATCACCCTCAACCTACAAATTTGTGTTTAAGATTATCAATCAAACAAATTAAGTCTGAATTCACATGTTAACGCTTTAGCACGGTAAGCACTTGAAAAGTTCAAACTACAGACACTATACATGTTTACTTGCACAATGATTACAAATTTATCACAAAACATTAAAAATTGATCCAACCATACGAAAGGAAAAAAAGTATACGAAATCTCCATAATAAAATTCCATCATTAAGACTAAGGTGTAAGTCAAAAAATGGTTAAAAACCATGAGAGGCCCATAAGCTGCAAGCTTATTGAAACCCTAATTCAACATATAAAACATGAAGAGCCTCCAAAGTTTTGCTTTGAATACATCAAAATTCAAAGGCTAGATTTAGAACAACTAAGACCAACTAAAATTGTTGCATAAAACTCACTGGTTTCTCCAAGCAAAAGCTTTAACCAGATTAAGAAGCTTTGGTGCAAATATGAACAATTCATACAATAATTTAATCCTTCTAGAAACCTATAGTTTGTACTCTGTTCACAAATGCATTCACTTTCTCACTAATATTCTGTAGAGCTTCATGCATTTCAAAGTTCAAACTAATTCCTAGATGCTCTCTTCAGATTACTATGTCTTAAACCATTTTTTGCATTGGATATACCCAATGCTGCTATCTGCACCCAATGACAAGTTAAACAAGAACTACAAACATCACATGTACAAATTGAAGAAGCACCATGGTACATTTACCGCGTTATAAAAGCATTAATGGTCAACATTGACCACATTTGTTTTAGTGCTCTAAAATTCAGTTCATGAAATCAAGCTTTATCACTTATCAGTTATTTGAAATCCTTAATCTGGTTCACAGTCAAATGAAGGCCCCAACAAGGACTATGCAAATTTTTTTCTTTGAACATTTCCATTGCACACACTTAATATTCAAGGAAACTAGCAGTAAATTTTCTTATTTTTAAAAGGAATATACAAGTTTCATTTTATATCTGTATAATAGGAAAATTAAAAAAACAAATAGCAACCAATTTACCCGAACAAGCTTGTAGACAACTGGGTTGGCAATATGCTTTGGTGAAGACAAAGAAGAGCTACTTTTCTCAAGGAACCTCTCCTCAAGTCTCCCTTCATCATTGCTGTCAACTCCAATCACTGCTTCCATGGAAAATCCACGACATGCAACTCAAATTCACAAACTGGAAAGCATAACAAAAATGGCCAAACAAACAGATAATAAAGTTAATTTCCACACTCCACCCTAAAATCAAATGTATTTGGGAAACAGTACACCGCAAACCAAACATACAAATAAGCTTGCAAGTTTAAGATGTCTAGAAACAAAATTCAAGTTTTTCACTCCCCATATAAAGAAAACCACGTTAAAGCATTTAATCCACAGTTTTTCTTTTGGATAACACATAAGTGTCCAGACCTTTGGCCCAAGCGCACCTGAAGGCCTGACCCGCTGGAGTTGTTTTTTTTTGTTAGTCCACACTTTATCATCAACTAACATCAGTTTTTGATTAGTAAACTAGATTGCAACAGAGCTCACTCTAAATAATTCCATAAATTCATAAATCCAACAAAAATGCAAAAAAAGAAAAAAGAAAAAAGGTTACCAAATTCAATATTTATAAAATTCAACTAAGAAGTTCCAAAAAAGCATTTTAATTCACAAATTCCACAAATTAAAAACCCTAATTCCAAACAAACAATCAAAGTAAACTCACTCCAATTGGCTATATATCCATGCATAAACTAAAATGCATAAATAAACATAAACGTCTATAATTAAAAAGGCAGATTGCATTTCAAGCTTCATCATAAAAGGAAATTAATAAGAGCGAACAAAATTGAACTAGCTTTTCAATCACCATAGGATTTCGGTTGGCGACCGAGTTCACTCAGAACCCGAAAGCGATGAGTGATGCGATTGAAGCCTCGGAAACTTTACACCGAGATTGTCGGAGAAAAAAAGAAACGTCGACGATTCGGAAACGAATTTCGAGAGTCGGAGATTGAAATTCGGTTTCTTTTCCGGTGAGAGCGTGCACTTGTCTTTTTGGCTCGCTTTTCCAGTACGCTGGATACCTGGATTTTACTGTGACACAGTTCCGGACTCCAAGATCTTTGTTAATTTGATTTCATAAAGTAGCATCGAGTCCGAACTCCGAACATTATCGGGGGACTTTCCGCGTGCGCTTTTCTCTGGGTTCGCGTCTCGCACCTAATTTCCCCACCCCCCCGGCTCCTTTTTTTTTTAATTAAAAGATATTCTTATTAGAAAAAAAGGGGTAAAGATATTTTCAATTTTCCTATCCAAAATTTCAGTTTGAAAAAGCTAATTTCAAGTTCTGGTGTGTTAAATTTAATATAAAAATAACATAATTGTTAGAGAAAAGTGAATAATAAGGTGTTAGATGGCTGTTAACTATTTACGAAATTATTTAAATATTTTTAATAAATCTTGTTTGAGAATTTGATTTATTGTATTTAATTTTTTTATTTTTTTATAATATTTTAATCGTTAAGATATCTTATTTTTTATAATCTTATATATATAACATTACAATCTCATAATTTCATTCATTTACTTAAAGAAATTTTACTCTTTTTTATGAATTTTAAATATTTATTTATAATATTGTACGAATTTATTTAGATTTTTATTTGTAATATTATATCTATAATTATGAATTTATAATTCTAACTAGATATTATATACACCCACTTAATTATATTATTGTTGTTTTAATTGAAAACTCAAAGTCTAAAATAACTCTTTAAAGATTATGTACATCCTTTTTAAGGAATTTTTTGCTTTTTTAAACTTTAAAGTTGAAAAACATTGAAATTCAGTTGTTATTTTTTGATAATAAAAATTTATTAGTATAAATTTTATAATGTTCCAACCCCGAAGTAAAAGAGATACAGTTATAAATATTACCATATTTTAAAATCTTATTGTTAACAAATATTATCAAGAAATTATTTTTAAGCCAGAAAATTTTTTTATTGAAAGGAGAAATTAATTCTTCAGAATTTGCAAGATAGCCCTTGCCATATAATTATCATGAGGTCTAATCAGTCCCTAACTCGTGGACATGATTCAAATGAGGCTTTCAACTTTTACAATTCTATTTGTTTTTTCATTTTAAAAAAATATATTAACAGCATTAAGCTTTATTTGACAATGCTTTTTCACAAATTTACTCACGCAATAATTTATTTAAAAATATAAATTATTATTTTTAATTAATTTTTAATACACTATTACTAATTTTAATTGAAATTTTTATATATTTTTAAAATAATAAAAAAACATTTAAAAAATCTATAGCAACAAGACCAGATGGGAAAAAAAAAACTAACGGAATCCTCAGGAAGGTTCATTAACCTCAACCTGAAGTTTAGGGGCTAATTTGCACCAAATCAACTAGTTCAGAGGTTGATTTGACCTTTTTGCCATGATAAAAATAAGCAATAATTCAAAGTTCAAAATTTTACATCCAGAAGAGGCAAAAAGGCAGCACGTATCATCTGGCTAAATTTTTTTCTGTCCGGGAAAACAAAATCTCAAACAAAGTTCATATTTATAGGGATGTATAAGAAAATATTTTATTATACAAAATTAATTAATCTAATTATATCAATCAATTATAATGTGAATATAATCAATTGCGATGAATATTCTGTAACATCAAAGAAACCAACTAACTAAGCTGCTGCCTGCTGGAACCTCTATGTCAGTTTCTAATAGGGTGGTACAACCGTACTCCCTTCTTTGTTGGGTGGACACCAGATCCGGCGGTCATGTTTTGCTTAGGATCCCATTCAAGCACGATCTTGAACATGACGCCAAGAACACCCTACAAAGATTAAAAATGAAATGACAACATAAATTGACTGACAATGGGTGGACAATGAAAATGCAGGTGTTTTAAAGTTAAAGCTCTCTCAGCTTAAAGCCAACAACAAAGAGGGTGAACAAACCTACCTGTCTAAGTGGCACATGTTGGATGGCTGAGTCAAACAATTCGTTGACAGGTTCACGATGATATCATGCAACCATCCTTATTAAAACTTCATGGACTTAGCATGCTGAGCACCGAGCTTTACACTAAAAATAACCTGCGTGAGCCAATCACCCATATAGCTTCAGTGGTCACACTTTTCTTTGAAAAGTAAAGTAGTGACACCCTTGGTGACATGAAGTTCAAGTTTTAGGATTGACACTCTCCTATCTTTTAAAAGTAGATATTAATATTATCAATGTAATTATCACTTCAAAAAAAATAATAATAATAACCTGCATGAGGTGACATGCCAGATGTTCTTGTTTGAGAATCATGTACCAAATGCCAATAAGGACAAGGGCTAAATTCAGTTTTTCAAAAATCACCTCGTGCGTGCGTACTCAAACAAACAGGCATGAAGAGAATTTCAAAATAGAGATTACAATCAAAATAGTCTCATGAGACTATGAGTAAAGTACCAAAAGTTCACTAAAACACTGAAGGTTCAAGGTTTAGAACTTCGTGGCTATTTTGACCCTGCACAAGAGGGAAGAGAGATGGAGAGACCGAGAGATCTGTAGAAGCATCCGAACTCCAAGAACTAGAATCAAGAGTTCAAAGAGACTAACAAGACTTCAAATGTTTAATATAAGCATCGTTACGGATCCTCTAAACCCATTAACATTGGGAAAGGGAGGAGTAAATCAATGCTATCAAGAATGGAAATATACATTGTCTTTTATGTTTGCATAACACAAAGATACAATAAATGACAGAATGATAAGAGTTATGATTAACTTTCATGTCTTGCACGTAACTTTTACACAAAATTCAAACTATTTATCTCCCTATTATGAATGGTTGAGAATGATTCACATTTTATCATTTTTTGAAGTTAATTTTCTTTCATTTAAAAAATAATGATGAATCTCAATCACTTATGGTAAAATCTCAAAAGACAATCCTACAATGTCCAGATTAAACCAACAAATTGTCAGTGACCACAAAGGTCATAAACACATTCGATACATCTCCACACACTGGTTAGACACAGCATGGAAGGTATCATTTCAGTTTTGGTGGAATGCCATACCTTAGGATACTAATTACAAAACATTTCCTGAAGTTATCAATTGAAAATACGAAAAACAGATAATTTCCTGGTGAAAGTTCAGTTGATATAACTCTATGACTTCAAATTAACATGTTCAATTTTTTTATCTTTCCCACACTTTCTAGTCAACCAAACAAGGAGAGAATAGTTTACCAAGAACACTTTGAATGCGAGTGTGGCCCTGGTTAGTGATTCTGATCTCCGTCGTCACTGGCGTAACCCTAATTTCAACACCGGAATATCCATCTTCACCAATCTCTCTGTGATACCTCATTCAACTCTGTGACTGAAGAATACTCCATTGGCTACAAACTGTATCACTCTTCACTCACGCAAAACCGAAAAAGGCAAAAATCAAAACTTTACCCTTATAATGTGGATAGCTCTGTTTGGATGCTGAGAAAACGCAAGAAGCAAGAAAATTACCTTTCTCTTTTCGTTTATTTGAGCGGCCATGGCTGCCGCCTGCAGATCCCGTAACCAGTCGGGACTCGGGAATGTGGAAAATTCTAGAAAATCTAGAAGAAATGGAAATGATCGGAAGGTTATAGATCGGGCGAGAATTCGACGGCTGTGATTGGAGTTCAGGAAATTGTAAACAGATGTGTAAGGGTTATTTCTGGAATTTTGGTTCTGCACAACAAACTTTATCTTCTTTCGCGGGAAGAAACGGTTGGACCAGGAAAATACTGATTTATCCAGCAATGGCGACTGCTAATGTTATTCCCTCTTCCACTCTCTTCGCCCACCACACACATCTCGCTTCGCCGTCTAAAACTCCGGCGAGATTCGCGAATTCTCTTTTTGTAGAAATCAGAAGGCGCGATCTAGTTCTTTGCTCGGCGAAGAAGAAAATCAACTTCGTCGATCAAATTCTTGATTATATTGAAGGTGAAATTCTACAGGTTCATGTTGTATTGAGCTTGAATTGACGACATTGATGATTCTGTTATGCTTGTTCTCGTGTGTTCCTATAGGGGGTCCCAAGCTTAGGAAATGGTATGGGGCGCCGGATCTTCTTCCAAAAGATGGATCTGCTGTGGAAGATGAGGATGGATATCAAGGTAATTTGGTATAGAATTCTGAGGTGTGGAGGTTTGCATTTATGGTTATAGGGTTTTGGAAGAACTTATTGTTTACTCTTTGGAATGCAGAGGATGAAGTAAGGGATGCAGTTTTAGTAACAGATGGAGACAGTGACATTGGACAGGTTTGTTCCAATGTCAATCTTCCAGCAATTCAGAGAGTTAGGTTGAATTGATGAAAGGACATTTTTTCAATCTCAGTCTGGATTGACGTTTTCTTTAGCTATTCCAAACTGAAAAACAGCATTCTTTTCTAAATGGAGGATTCTACATACAGTCGACTGTATGGTGTATATAGCTAGCCTAACTCCCTCATTGTGCATGAATTCTAAGCTTTGTTTCTCTAGTTCATGTAGATGGTAATATTGTCATTAATTGTCAAACGAACTCGAGTTAAAGCCTTGGTGAAGGATAAGCGGACTGCTATGGAAGCCTTTGGAACATATGTTGAGGTTGGTTTACAAAAATCTACTACAATTATTTTTGAGGATCATACGTGCATACTAATATCTGCTTCCCCTTTTGCATCACTTGATTATTTAATTGAAATTGTTGATGGAATGCTGTTTGTTGTGTGCTGTGCATAGTCAATGGCTGGAAATGCAAGTGACAAGCTATTTGTGAAAAGAGCTCTTAGAGGCGTTCGTGCAATCATATGCCCTAATGTATGTACAGCTCTGGTCTCTCTAGTTTTCTGTTCTTAATAATAACATACTATATTAAACACCACCTTTTACCCTTGCTACTTCACGCTCAATCAAGCATGCTGCTGTAACTTTCTTTATCCAAAGATTCTGCCATGTGCCGACAAGAAATTTCTATTGGTTCTTATAAGTTATGTGAACTTGCTATGATTCTTCCATATTTCTCATTAATTCTTAAAAGATGTATAGACTATTAAAGCTGGAAGATCCATTTACTTTTTTCTGTTTTTTATCCATTTTCTCTTTTTATCAAGTCTTAGGTGAGAAGTTTTCCCTTTTCTTGTACTAACAGGAGGGCTTCCTATCTACTGTTGAAAGCTTGAAAGGAATCAAACATGTAATTCTCTTATCTCAGGTATTCCCTCTCTGGTATGTAAGTGCAAACAGAAAGTGTCAATATTCTAGACAGAATTCATATATTATAGTTGTTTACAAGGGTTACAGTTGTCTGTCTACAGAGGTAGTGGTGGCATTCAAGCTCTCATGAAGGGTAATGCAAGAAAATTGGCTGAGAAGGATGAAGCAGTATTGATGGACACAGGGATTCCATGCACCATTATTAGGGCTGGCATGTTACAAAATACTCCTGGTGGAAGACAAGGTTTCAGCTTTGAAGAGGTATTTGCTGGTTTTAGCCTTTCTTGTATTAATGAACTGGGCAAACTAAGCTTTGAAGAGATATTTGCCAGTCTTAGCCTTTCCTGTATTAATGAACTGAGCAAACTAAGTTATGATACTTAATAATCGGTAATACTTAAAAGTTACACAACATCCTCAATCCCCATGCAAAATTGTGATATTTACTGCATGACTTTTATGCTTGCAACTTAAGCATTTTCTGGAAGGGGTTGCTTCAAAGTACATAATATTATCCCATCTACTTGTTGGGGACCTTCAAGGCAAAATTTTCTTGTTCTAGGTTCTACCAAAGAAAAACAAACTTACATCAAATGATTGCAATAATATTACTATAATACTGTTACTTTTTATAGCAGTTCACCAATGTCCCTTTTCGATTAAATTAATAATGTTTCTAGTGGGCGCTTGAATCTGGATGCTGGCTTGGAAAAACATATAACAATCTCCAGTAACACCCTTTTATGGCAGGGTAGTGCAGCAAGTGGAAGTCTTAGCAAGGAGGATGCTGCCTCTATTTGCGTTGAAGCACTTGATGTAGTCCCACAGTCCAGATTTATATTTGAGGTTAGTTAGATATGCCTGCAACCTAAAAAAGAAAGTGAAAACTATCTATTTTTCAAGTAATTCATTGCTCACTTCTTTAGGCCTAAAGTTACGGGG